TATGACATTATTTAAAGTACGTGTACTAATAAATACAATAATGTGAACAAATTGCCGCTAATATAAATATTAACGACATGCGAGACAAGTCAAAACAATTACATTTTTGTAATTTTTGAAAAAACAAAAGAAGAATAGATCAATATGACGTTTATGTCGTCTTATAGAGAACATTTAGCGCGATCCCTACCAAAGGTTTAAAGAAAAAATTGTAACCGTTCTGAGAAAATATTCTTTTTGTAATTTTTTAAAATTGCAAATATTGCACGCAATATTGCGCGAAGACTACTAAAATTTTCAAAACAATTATATGACCTTAATGAAAGAACTTATTATGGAGAACAAATTTTATTTTAGAAAAAATATCTATCTTTTATTTTGTAATTGTAGGAAGATCCCGAAAAAATCATAGTTTTGAAATTTTCGAAAATTTAGATTTAACCGTGAAAACCGCCAATGCCACTTCTATAAGTGTATGTTACTCAATTCTTACAAGAAATTTAAAGAACAAATTTGGAGCTGTTTTTGAGAATTTTTTTTAAAATGTCCGGTCGGCTTAATGTAAAGTACGCTTAAATTTTGAAGTATGTTTTTCAAAATCGCAAAGTTTCAACTCGATCCAGATAGACAGAGGTTTCTTCAATTTGGAAAAAATCCTACGCATTCAGACATTTTCAATTCTTTATTAAAAACGGCTCCAAATTTTTTCTTTAAATTTCTTGTAAGAACCGAGTAAAATACACTTATAAAAGTGGCATAGGTCCAATTTTCAGGTTTAACTCTGCGTCCCGAGATGGTGATGGTGTTGGCGATGGATATCCGTGCCTGCCGACTGCGCTTTCTACCTATGTTCCCTAGGCCGAACTGTATGTACGTACGCACACGTTTGGCACAACAGTTTTTTATGAGCGAAGGTCTACCAGTAGCGTCCCGGCCTAGCGGCCATGGGTTAAGGGCTACGTGTGGTTAGCATGTAGCCATTCCTACGCATTCTCAATTTGAGAAGTGAGCTTTTTCATCATCACACAGCACTAGATACAGGGACATGGCAAGGAAAACGCACAATTAATTTTTGCCCCGACCGGGAATCGAACCTCGAACCCGGGGTTGCGCCGTGGAAAGCGAGGACGCTGACCAACGAGCAATCGAACTGTTCGATTAAATTTCGGACTTCGGAGAATCCTATCCATGAAACTAAATTCACATTTATTTTACTTTCTCACGCTTAAGAAGGAACTTCTTAAGAAGAGAAAGTTATGTAATGCTGCGCGAAAAAACGGCGGTTTTAGATAAAAAAAATTCTTATTCTTAAAATTAAATTTTTACTCATCTTTCAACTCTTTATAGTTAAAATGACGAGAAGGGATTCTGGAACTCAAGAAAACGTGCGCAAATAATCTTCTCCCCCCTACGTCACAAATAGTTTTTACTGGTTTTTGACTGAATAAAACTAAATCTAAATCTAAATTGCTCCTCGGTGAAAAAATTTCTACGCTTGCAGGTGCCGCGAGATGTCAGAGTGTTTCTTTTCGGCTTTTTGCAGAACTGATAAGAACGGAAAACGAATGCAGGCATTGCCAGTTCGTTATATCAGGGGTGCATTAATGTCAATGCTACTGAAATAAATGCTCTATCATTGCGAGTATCTGTGGGTAGAGTATTGTCAGCTAACATTTAATTTTTACGTATGTTGATTGTTCCACGTTAGTTCGGGGACTTTTTCTGTTTAGTTTTAAATAAAAACAATTAATTATAATGTTTTGGTGTTATTGATCTTGTTTACGCTGCGTGAAAGCTTTTAGAAATCTCCAAAAGGCCATATCGGTCCAAACACCCCCACGCGCGGTGCAGGTTTAAAATCTATTATTTTTATTTCCACACTGCATTATATATATTTTTAATTACACATACAAACATTCAATTATGCTATTTCTTCAGAATTCAACTATTCTCCTTGTTCGCGAAAGCGAAGTTGGGCTGCTTCATGCAAACATTAACAACACAAAGAACGTAATTTATTGGATTTTACGGCAATGTACAATAGAATGGATAAAATAACTACGCAGACTAGGAATCGAACCCGCTACTCCCAGAGATCCAACGCCTTGACACTGAGCCGGCCATTGGCTGGACAATCATTTTTCTAATAACAACACATTTTATAGTAAAGAAACTTGAAGCAACATTAACGCGTACAGAAATTAATGTGAAGTCCGTTTCAGGAGCAGGAACCACGGAAGCCTTTCTACTCTTTTCCTCTCAATAGACGTCGAAGTACTTTATTTGCTCTCCAATAAAATAAATTTAATCTTAATAGCTTGGTCTAGAGAATGTATTTTGAAAAACCTCTTGAGACCATTTGCTTGCCCATCGCCGTCAACTTCGCGGGCCAATGCATTTTCGTCGCGAAATACGTTTCTGGCTGTACATACGGCTCGTAGTATAGAGAAAGTTACGTGATCGCGCGGAAAATGTATTTCGAGATTTCAACCAAAATGCACGTTTTGTGATCCCGTGATACCTAAAACGTATTTTTTCAAAAAAATCCGTCAGTCCGTCCGTCTGTGAATAATATTAACATTTAAACTAGGATTATTCCCAAAATGGTTATGCCGCAATGTATGGATAGTGACCCATATGGAAGCTCTGCGATTTTGAAAAACTTTCTTTAAATTTTGGGTGTACATTACATTCGGCCCTCGGAACATTTCAAAGTTTGCTAAAAAATGACCACAATTTTTTCTTTAAATTTTCTAAACGATTAGAATGAAATTAACTTATATGCCATGGGACTGATTTTCACTGTTTACTCTGAATTTTCAGAAATATCAAAACATTGAATGCTTTTTGGCGTCTTTCTACACATACGATATTGAAGATAGCGATTTTTTCTTCAAACGAAATTTGTTCTATACAATTTGTTCTTTCTTGAATTTTATATTCCTTTTTTTCACATTTTAGTAGTTTTTGAATAATTTTACGTGAAATGTGGGCAATATTAAAAAAAGTATTAAAAGCAAGATTTACTCAAAAATGGCTCCATTTGCAACTTTTAACTCATATAGTGCTAAATGGACCGTTAAAATGACATGAAGGCATTTTTGCGATATTATTTTTTTAAATTTATTTATTTAAGGTCGCTTCTCAACAACTGAGTCATAAGCGACCACGAGTATCAATTTAGAATTTACACAAGAATATACATTGCAAAATTATTTGTTTTATTTTGAATACACAAATATTAATTTTTTAAAATTTTTCTCGTGTCGTTAATATTTATACGGCGATTTGTGTACATTTTTTAGTACAAACTCTTCAAATAACAAGTTCTCGAAAACTCAGTCGCTTTCTGTGAAAATCAGCTGGAAATTTCACATTTTCAGAAACACTCAAACGTAATTTTCTCGAGATGGACTTCAAATTTGTTTCTTAAAGTTTTTGTACGAATATTCGTAAATGTACTGAATAAAATGGCACACAAGGTACATTGATGTATTCTTTTGTTTTTTCAATTAAACAAATGTTTTTTAAATATCACTCACGTCGTCCTTATTTACATTACGGAGATGTAGCGCAGACTGAAAACCAAGGAAACTAGCAAAACAGTCTTTGTCATTCTCAAGCACCGCTTACTTACTTTCTCGCCAAATAAAATATAGCAATGTACGCTAATGCAAAACTAGTGATGCTACACAGCACAAACTTTCTCGCATTACTTATAAATTTGCAATTTTCGAATATTCAGAGAATTCATCGAAAATGCGACAGGCGCCATTCTCTAAAGCGTCCCTTTTTTATCCATGGAATACATTTAAAGAACAAAAAAATTGGAGATTATTTTGGGAAAATGTGTTTTTTTGCATTAATTTCAAACAAAAAATACGCGAAAGCGATTTATGAAAATGTGTACATGACTTTTTTTGAGTTGATTTTTTAGAGCAGCATTTACTTAAAGGAAAATGTTTATTATCAACTTTGTAGTTTTGACATGTATACTTTTTCAATTTTCGAAATAAAGGACCGTGAATGGGACCAGCACCACTTTTTACATTGGTTTTTGACATTCACGAGGAGAAAATTTGGAAAAAATTGTTTTTGAGGAAATAAATGTTAAAAAAATTCCGATATTTCACGCATAATTATGTCAACGACTCATATTTTCGAAAAATTGTACATAAGTTTTTTTCAAGATCTGTCTCAAGAACATATTTCATTCAGGAAAAAGATCTCTACTTTCAGCGTTGTAGTTGTAGAAAAACACCGAAAAATTTTTGAAATTTTGAAGAATCAGAGGTTTGAACGAAAATAAGCCCTGCATAATATCTTTTACGCTTTCCGAAAACAAAGTTGAATAAAAAACTTTGGAGCAATTTTGGAGAAAATTTAGAAATTGTCTTTGAGGTTTCATGTAAAGTAGTAGCCCTCAAATCAAAAAAGACTTCGAGCTCATTAAAATCAATCGAAGAATGTTAATTTTGGAGAAAATCGGCTGAACGGTTTAAGCGCTAACGTTTACCACAGACGTTTCGCTGTCAATCGATTTTTTGACATTACCGGCCGACCAAATATGAATTCTGACAATATGATGTATTAGAAGAAGTAATTTACTATATTTCGAAACAAACCATTTGAAGAAATCAATATTTCATTAGTAAAATAACAATAACAACAACAACAACAATAATAATAATAATAATAATAATAATAATAATAATAATAATAATAATAATAATAATCTTCCAGTACAATAATACAGCAATATGTATTGCTGTATTATTGTATGTAATACTGGAACTTTTGTAACATGTGTATGTAATATTGGAACTTTTGTCAACATCAGGAACAGGATAAGTAATGTGCAACGTCTTGTCTATTTCTATTGCTCCGGCAATCGGGTGCTTAATGCTACCCAAAAAGTCTCTATTCCACCAAACTCTAGAGTCAATTTAACTGCTGTCAATTGTCAACCAATGGAATAGGAGAACACTATCTTCTTACGTAATACGTCAAGCTGAGTATTGGAGTCATCTGTTCTGCATCTGTCAAAAAGGGACATGCTTCGTCCTCGGAGTTATCAGAAAAACAGGTTATCCAACTTCAATTATTGAATACAATGTCAAAGAGAAACTACAGAAAATTACGAAAGTTCTTACATTTTACTTGGTTTCACTAGCAGCTACACAGTCATTTATTGGCTGAATTAATTAAAAATGATACCAATTTCTTCCTCAGAAAGTATTTTCATTTATTCAAGCGCAGAAATATTTGTGTGCAAGTATGACGGTACCTTACCAAGCAGAATTTCATTGCAGTTCAGAGTACAAACTTGGCACAACTCTGTACAACTGTGGTCACTTCATGGTCACAGTCACGTGTGATGAAAGTTGTACAATTATTCTGCAAACATACGTGTATGCTATTCGCACCGGTGTGTGACAAGCACAATAAGGAGGGTGCGATTGTTAATACGTTGCTATGGGATTTTCAGAATCATTCTCCTTTATATATAAAAATCAAGTGGTATACACCTTGCAAGATTGTACGAAATATGCGGTAGGTTGAGGGGATTATGCAGTGAAAGTTTTATTCCTAACCCTAAAATCCCCCTCCTAAACAGGATAAATTTTGTCGTGTCTCCAGAAGGCAAGTATGTGGTTATTGGTTGTATTACGGTTGTGTCACTAGGTTACGTCGTATGATTTGTTTCTTCATAAATTACGTTCAGCTATGTTTTCTCATATTTTTATGTGATGTTTTTTTTCTGATTTGTCAATACTTTTAGTTTAGCTATATCATGCCGCAATGGAAGAAAACAGAAACTGTACCAGCAGCCCATTTTTCTACAAAAATTTTAAGATGTTCACCCACTTCATTAGTTCGAGTGGCTGGACTATTTGGAGCATCGGCAGTGATATTAGGAGCTATTGGTGCCCATGGTATGTGCAGAAGAATACAATGTACCGACTTAGGATTCATTAATACTGAAAATTTCTTATATGTTTTCAGCACATAAAGATGCAACACCAGAACAAAAGAAAATCTTTGAAACTGCAAATGGTTATCATTTCATTCACTCTGTGGCTCTTCTTGGAGTACCTATGAGCCGCTGGCCCAGGACAGTGAGTACAGATATTAAGTATACTATTACACTCACTGTTATTAAGTGAAACATTTGTTGTTTTTTTTTATTTAGAGCGGGGCACTGCTTACACTTGGTATGGTTCTGTTTTGCGGCTCTTGTTACCATCAAGCATTTACTAATGAGAAGAAATTTTCTGCAGTGACTCCCTGGGGTGGCACTCTTCTTATTGCTGGTTGGCTTGCAATGGTTTTATAAAAATAACAATCAACCAGTTTGAAAATGTTTTATGTGAATGTGAAAATTAGAGAACTCAAACATTTAATGTTTGATGTGTATTGTTGTTTATTGGAAATTTGTAAGTCCCTACATCATCTATTATGTTTTTAATAAATGTAAAGTAAAAACTGTACTGTGTAATAAATGAATTTCAGTATCTTGACTAGACTTTCACGAGAGGTAGGCATTTCATGTCAGTGGGTTTCTCTGAGACAAGATATTTAAAGAACTACATCTTCACCTTTTTTGAAGTTAAGAAATTAAACATCTTAATAATATGAGTGATATACAAAAGTCAATTGGCAATTATCGATAGTGTAAATCTAGTTTTTTCATGAAATGCCTCTATTTCCTTGCTTCAGAAAACTTGTTTTTGCTTTGACCACTACATAAATTATCAGTATATATATTTATATATAAAATTACAAAAAACAATGTAATAACACAATTGATTAATAAATTACTTGCCTTAATCCATAAATAAGCAACTGAAAAATTTTGTGAAACGAACAAGTTTAATTTTGTACACATGTACGAATACCTGTTAAATATACTTTTTCTATGACCAATGATGGCTATCATTAGTTATGTTCATTGGTAGTAACTAGTATAGAGTACTCAGTTAATGCCACCTAATGCTCTCCCAGGTGGCATTGACATAGCACAATTCAACTTCAAACGAGCAATACACGAGTCAATTTATTAAAGTTCAGTATCATTTCTTAACATATTGTCATACAGGGATTTTCATTTGAAAACCACCACCACCTGTGTTGTCTTGGCACATCATACACAAACTAATGAAAAATTAACTTCTGCAATTGGTCAAACCCCTGTATTATAATGAAATTATCGGTGTGCAACATGCAGCCATCTAGTACAATATGGAGTACAAAATCACCATTTTACTCTTCAGCTTTGTATCAATGTTTTGATGTTCAAATTCTAATACCAATATCAAAACTAATACAATTGATTCCTTATTGTGTTGTGATACACACTAGGAATTAATATGAAATTTAATGAAGGAGGCTGAAATGTTAAATCTCCAAAATTAAGTGCAGGTTTATTGTATTAAGGTGCTCATACTTCTAATTTATCAAAATTAAGTTTTTAATACGAAATATCAATTTTGAAGTAATGACCCAGTAGCAAATCTTTCTGATTGTACAATTGTACATGGAATGTGTGGAATGACAATGAGAAAACTACACAAGCCTACAAACAATCCTGAACTCTTCACAATTTTTATTTCAAAGGCAGATGGACAAAAACACTTAATCTAACTCTCTCCCCCCCCTAACAAAACATTCAAACCATGATCAACTTCAGTTATTTGTCAGAAATTAAAGAGGTCAAGTCACATTGTCCTATGAGGGAACTAGGACAAAACTAGCTAACTCCTGAAGTAGTGTTAAGATTACCGAAAATAAATTTGGCTACTGACGTGTTTTTCACATTATTAGATAAAACAATGTGTAGGTACAAAAACACTGGTGAAAACACTATTAAAAACACTGTTTGAAGAACTTTATTTGTACATTTAACTTAAACACACAATGCTAATGAGAACAAAAATTCTAACAGAAAGGAACTAAACTAAGAATGAAGGAAGAAGAGTTCACAAAATGAAGTGAAAGAATAATGGAACTTTTTGTAGCTTGTATACAATATATATATGAGCTATTACAATAAACAAAAAAGTATGGCATTTTGTAATCCCTGCAAAATAATCTGCCTACAATGTATTAACCTTCAAAATAATACTTCTCTTCCATTCATCCTTTGGAATTAAAGCCAATTTGAGTGTGTTCCCAGTAGGACATCATCCCAGTAGTACTGGAGTGACACACAACACCACACTTATTTGAAAACATTTAAGAACACACAAATCACATAGGAATATTACAAAGTAATTGTTCAAAACAACACATGTGGAAAAAAGTTTCAGATTCACAATTTTGGAGATAATCTTACTTCAGAAACAATATCACTTAACAGCATATATACTTGAATGAAACAGTGAATTTGCAACATTTCCACCATTCCTTGCCTACACTTGACTGCTGTATACTCAAAATACATAAGAAGGCAGACAAAGATAAATCAGACAATAAAAATTACACTCTCAATCACACCACAAAAATACATTCCTTTTAAATGTCCACAATAGTTGGGTACAGACACACCACAATCACATGGCCAGTCTTTGCTTGATGTCATGCATCCGATCTAATTATTACCAAAACATATCTACTATATCAGTACAGGACACAAATTTGCAATCCTGAAGACACAACCAGCTCAGCCTCTGATATATACAATAGTGGGTGGGGGAACATTTATAATGTAACTTTTAGTTTCTGTTTAAATGTATATAAAGCAAATCAGAAGTACAAACCCAACTTGCTTTGAAAGACTAGGCTGCTAGAGCAAGGAGCTCCAGAACATGGGGAAAAATTCACAACAACACTGCTTGACCCTGTGCCCATCTTCCCTCAAGAAAGAGTTCACCAGTAGGCACAGTCACTGTAACACTCCTCAGATAACTCAGAGGTCTACATAAATCTCTGCTACCCTCTTTCTTTCGTATGTTCTCATAAAAATGAAATTTTTTGGTATTTATATATATAAAAATGCAAGTCGAATGATCATGTTCCTGAAATTCAACATTCATAACATGAAATCACCTCCTTTAAACCATTCTCTACATCACACACTTTGCACACTGATTCATTCTATACACAAAAAATGCAGTCGAAGCCTCTTTTTAATAATCACTTAAAAATTGAGGCAGCATTTCAAATGTCTCACATGTAAATAATTAACTCTCAAATAGTACTTTAATAATCCAAGTCTTCATTCACTTCAACCAAACAGTTCAATCTCTTGTGAAAAGTTCTCATTCTACACCACACTTCACTTTATTCCAGAACACAAAGCAACTGCACAACACACATCACAAAAATATCTCGGAATCTGCTTCTTATTTAAAGCTGATGACAGCACGCTTTAGTGGATATACTCCATTAAGTCTGTAATTTCAATGTTTGTTACTTCAGAATTAAAAATATACAAAATAATATCTTAATAAACACATCCACTATGGCATGTGTATGAGAATAACACAGTAGCCGCAAGCAATTCCAATTGAAAACTATTACAAATTTCACCTTTAGTAATGATGTAACAGTTTTCAACCAAAATTCTAAAAATTTTAAAATAAAATAAGTCACAGAAGGAGAGGAGAAAAGCTTATTAGGCCACAAAATGAGCCTTTGGCATATATTGCCTTCTTCTGACTTACACGAAGTCCACTAAGATAGATGAAAAGAGTGCTGTCCCTCATGAGCAGCAAGCTTTAACTTTGCTCGCATCACATCCAGAGAAGTGTAATCAGGCAGCTTGAGGTAGTTGACACAAGTCATCACAGAGGGCAGGAAGTCGTCAGGGTTCATATTTGGTTCCAATGTTTTGCGAACCACAGTAAGTGGCGGAGAAAGAGCTTTGAATCCTGTAATATTTCCACAAAGTTATTATTACAAAAAATTAGAAACTTAAAATTTCAACAAATAAAATGGTTTACAGTTATATTTTCAGAGACAAAATTAAATACAATTTACTCCTCTAAAACTTAAGTTTCAGTTTAGGTCCTAATTCCTGAAAGAATGTTCACAAACACTGCAATGGATAAGTGTTTGTGAACATTTTTGTCAGAATAATCGTCACATCCAGTCGAGCCACTGGGGAATATCCATTTTTGAAAAATTGCTATGAATGGTTTAGGTGCTAGTGGTGTTCACAGGCAGACATTTTGAAGAAGGAGAAGAGAAAAAAGAAAAGGAAAAGAAGGAAAGAAAAGAAAAAGAATTGTATTTCACAAATTGATTTTCATCAGCATTACATAACTTTCTCTATACTGGGTATGTTACTCCATATATACATATGCATACGAGAAAGTAAAAGAAAAAACATTGCAGATTAGCATTCATAAGAGATTTCCCGTTCAACATTAGTCTTTTTTCCCAAAAATATTATGTACACAAAACTAGATCACTTTGGTATTGATATTTAGTTGAATTATCCGTAACAAATGTCTTAACACGACAGTTGAAGAATGCACACAGAACATTGCCTACTAGCTTCCACAAACTTTTCCAGCAACCTTCATACATCAAGTTCCTCTGCAGAATACTGATTCAAGTACCTAAGGCGGGTAAGACGTGGAAACTGCTCAAAGTTTCAAATTCTACCTTGGGCATGAATGTTTGGGGTCTTCGTCCATGTGTGTATTCTAGGACTTGCTAACCCTATCTGAAAATGTGGTAATCAAAGCGACTGACTATGGAACATTCCATTTATACAGTTCAAAAAGACCCAAACAAAGAAGAAAAAGAAAACAACACCATCTCTCTTACCAGCTTATTCTGGAAACATTTCATTTGCTTCAACTTCAACATTCATATAATTAAATAAAGAACTTCTTACATAAATTAAATTTGAGACATGAAGGCTAAACAACAAAATCTGTCAAAAAGTTTTCAAGAATAGGAAATATAAATTCAGAGCAACCACTTACCTCCAACAGGCAATCGAGGAGATCCAGTGACAAACTGAATAAATAAACGTTGCTCTTTAAGGTCATACTGACTAAGAATATCAAAAAGGAAGCGTATTGCACGTGAGTCAGCAGTATAACCATGGTCTGGTCGACAACATTCTGTAAGGGTCTTCACATCCCAACCCAATGAAGAAGCACCACCACCACAGAATACTGCTTCAAGTTCCTCTGGATAAAACATATGCAATTGCTGTAGGGGAAAAACTGACTCAAATCCTTCACGGAATGCTTCCATTTGACGAGAGACACCCTCATGCAGGAACCAATGGCACACCAACTGTGAACAATTAAACTCGATGTTATTTGCTACAACGAATAACATTCACTTAAGTATGCTAACATGATATTTGAGATATGTGAAGTAGAAAGTCATTTATTACACACTTCTTAAGATATAAAATCTTCGTAGTGGAAAATCCTTTGGAAAGAAGTTTGCAAAAACACGTCCTTAAAACAATTGGTATCAATGAAGATCTGAGTATACCACTGAATATATAAAAAAAGCAGCTTTTGTTGTAAACTATTGTATATAAGTATACTGAACTAAAGAAAAGAAGTCCAATCAAAACCCAGTGAATACTTGTATCAAAAATGTTAAAATGTCCAGAGATGTATTGACAATTGGTTAAATAAGCTATTGTTATTTGTATTTTGCCAAAAAATACTTTAATGTATTGTCTAATGAGTTTAAAAATCTGGCTATTAGCCAAAAGCAGTTAAAACTTAAAATTAAGGAACACATTAGAAACGTGGATATAAATCAAGGTCTGTGTCACACGAGTGTTACATTACTGTGCAATAAATAACGAGCATCATAGATTAACACTTATACGAAATAGAGCAAGTGCTTGTGTACTTTTGCACATAAGATACAGTATTATCACACAAGTTACTTATCGTGTGTCTACAGAATGCTCATGTGCAGGGGCCCTAACTATGCTACATTATTTGTCATTTTGTTACGTAATAGATTATTGAAATGAAGATTTAAAAACCATGCACTTTAATCAATATTTTAACTTTTT